CAACATGTATGGGCACTCTTGTGTGTCTTCCTCTTCACTGAAGGTGGCCAGAGTGATTCATTATGGATTTAGGAGAGTGAGTCATACAGCAGCACTGCCTGGCTCTGTTGGTGGTGGAGAGAGCCAGGACAATTAGCTAAGCCTAGGCATTAACTCTAGGCTAAAGGGGTATGCCTTTCTTGCTCAGAGCCAGGGAAGTATAAGTTTGAGTTCCAATTAGCAGTATTTAAATGCAAATGAGCATAAAAAGAGCCTGGAGTGCTGCATGTCTGCAAAGGCATCTGTTGCCCACAGACAGATCGATTTGCTGCAGATGCTTGAGCATACTGCATATGCCCAGAGCTCCTCTGCCATGTCTTCAGTGAGCATCTCTTGTATGATGAGACACAGAGAGACGTTCCCTTTGCTGACTCTGCAGGGACAGTTGTAACTTCTGGCAGGATGTGCATAGACAACTAGATTGGACATATCTTAAAGCCTATAGAAGGTGCTAGTGGAGTTCATCTATTAGAAACATCTCTCCTAGTTTTCTTTTGCCAGCAGTCTGTCTACATCAGGTAGAGGCTGCAGAAGAGAGATGTGTACTGGTGTGAAGATGTTCTGCACTGAAGGTTTGTTCCCCTCCCTCTGGGATACATCAACACCTCTAAGGTCAATGTTGTTTCATTCATTCACCAAGCAAAGCAGGGCCACCTCAGAGTTAGAGATCTTTTATGTTGTTAGCATGGGGCAAAAAAGGCATTTGTTATAGCTGCACACTGGAATATAATTAAAGTTGTACCTTTACAGTTTCTGGAAGATCTCTCTTTCTCTGAGAAGAAGAGGGCTGCTGTGAGCCTTATTTCACTGTGATTAAGTTATTTCTACTGGACAGTGTGAAAAACAAATCAGAGAGTCTTAGATACCATCTCTTGAAGAGAATGAATCTGGATTCAGTGCAGCTGGATGTAGAAAGCTGAGGCCTAGCAACAACTGCAGGGAGCAGTTACTATTCCAGTTGTTCTTCTTCATCTTCTTTTTACAGGTATGTAAATATGGTCTTATTTATTATCTAGATTATCTTATTTATCTAGTTCAAGTATGTTTTAGTTTTAGGGTTGGCATTCAAATCTAAGACTTCTTCTTCTGAAGAAGATTCTCTGCATTATTTCATAATTATGAGAAATCCTGGGGAGGTATCTCAGTGTTTACAGAGGAATATATTGCTGTACTGCACTCCAGATATATCAACACAGCCAAATCTCCTTCTAGTATGTTATAATTTAATTAGCTCCACTTCTTGAGTCATAATCTGTTTCTCTGGGGCTGAAGCACACACACATACACAAAAGACAAAATGCAAAATGTGAAGAAGTAATTGTGATCTTTGCTACTTGGATTTGGTACCATCTGTTAACATGACTTCTTGTAAAGTAATTTTCCAATTTGTTTGTTGAATTGGAGTTTCATGCCATGGATAACATTTTCTTTCATTGTGAAGCTGTCAGATGTAGCTCCCCTGAGAAAACCATCCTACCAGTCTGAGATCTGGGACATAACTCTCCTGCTCGTCCAGCTTCTAAAAAGCAGCAGCACAGTTTTCTCTAGGTGAGGATCTAGCCCATAAAATCCTTCAAGGGCAAATTCTAACTGGGCAGTGAGCCAAAATGTCATCCCAGAGGACTAGATGCCATGAAAACCTTGGCAGAGTTTCCCCAGATGTGCTAGATGCATCTTGACTTCTCAGCCACAGATCTTTCTTTGCCTTCTCAAGAATATTACTTTAGTATTAACTTGCTCTATTTACCCCTCTGTTAGAAGGGTTGATATTTCTGATTTTTCATCCTCTTTTTCACTGCTTCTGTCTTCCAAAAACAAAGTGTTGGAGGGATTTCAAGTGTTGATATTTCCAGAGCTGGCCAGCCTATGCCTTGGAGTTGTTTGTAGCTGTTGAGTGTGGTATTCACATGCCTTCTGAACACAGGAGCAGCAAATGAGATAATAATTGTTTTAATCATTCTTTTTTCTGCTTCTCTCACAGCTTCTCTCTGTTCAGAAGGCATGTGAATACCACAGTTGAGTGCTTCAGAGGTGCCTCTCACATTGGAACCACATCCCATACACAGATCTCTGTGCTCGCCAGGGCTGCTGGGTAGTCTGGTCCCTTGGCTGGGGTGAAAGTGATAGATTGCTACACCAGCATCTCTGGGATACCCAAACCATCCTGCTGTGGAAAAATAGGGTTTGATCAGCATCTCCCCTTATCAGTTCCTCCTGGACTTCCCCCACCTCACAGCTCACTGAGATCAGTGATACGTAGTGATCTCAGTAGTGTGGTTTGTTAGGCTGGCTGCTCCAGGGCAGTCTCTCCCTGCTGCAGTGTCATTCCTCGATCTGTTCTTACAGTCCTCCACTTTGAACCCTTTGCAATTTGCATCTTCTGATGCTCATTGTGAGCTTTTTGAAAGATTCTCCTTGAGTGTCCACTTTTCCACATGTTGGTTACCACTTCTCATGCTTTTCTAATTATTCTCACTGGTGTGCTGAGTCATGGCACCAAGTATGACAACTCTCTCCTCTGTCACTGTTAACCAGCAGTCACATCTCACTCATCTTGCCCTTACAAGCTGCTGAGGCTAATGGCATCAGGCTAATGGCAACATTTTCTGCTCCCATTTTCTTTTTGGGTCATGTAGTGATCAAGAAAGAGCAGAGGAAGTATGAAACAGTTAAATGAGATCCAAGTCTCTCTCTTAACCTGCACAGAGAGTAACCACCATTCTCCTAGAAAAGGAACAGAAAATAGCAGCTCGTGTCACTTTGTGTAACAATGATTGCAAAAAGAATGGGAAATAGTGCACTTCCCTCATGTCTTCTGCAGCTTCAGGAGTAGATGAATGACAATTTTTGGTTCCTTCTCCTCAGAGTGAGGAGTGGATGACTAATATCATTGTGACTGATGCCATCTAATTGGCTCAAAAGAATTTTCTGGTGGTTCTCATGATTAACATCACTTCTCATCATGTGCAAACCATTGCAGAGCAAAGACCTCCATTTGAACTGTGATGGTATGAAGAAGATGTAAAAATACTGGGTTTCTGAAGCAATTCAATGTATATAAAGTATGTATGAATCAGTATTCTGATCTTCCTGTGCAGCAAGTCATGATGACTGATCTATTTCTACAGTTGCTAATTATATTATGTTAAAAAATACTTGGTGTTCAAGTGACTTTTATGCAGAAATTCTGTGAGATTGAGATTTTAGGAAGACTTGCCAGGAGGGTACTACTGAAATACTTTGCTTTGAGTCAATTTTATCCATATCCAAACAGTTTGTTGAGCTGGGTTGCTGTGTGTTACTTAATATTGAATCTGAGCCATTTGTGTGAACTGCTGTGGTATTTTTGGGACAGGAAGCATTGTATCCTGATTATTTCTTACATCCACTCCCATATCTGCATTATCTAACCAGGGGTGTGTTGCAGTTTCTCCTCTTACCTACTGTAGTGCTGGATCATGGGAAAAAGCTTGGACAGAGAGGCTCACTTTAGACAGATGAGACAAACTGAAGGCAAACTGGGTCAGATCAAAATATTTTACTTCGGTTCAGCTCACAGAAATTAAGTGTTTCTATTCAGGAATACCAAACCACTTAATTTTTAAATCAGAAGTGTGGAAATAACATATTTGGTACTTACTAATGTCATACTTCAAAGGCAGGGCTGTGAATTTCTCTTAGGTGATGAAGAAATAGGGCAATATCACAGTGCAGCCTTCACCAGCCTAGTGAGAAAAGGACTTCATGCTCAGTTTGAAAGAGGTCAGTGCAAAGGTTTAAAAGAGTGAATATTACAGCAGCATCTTTAGAAGGTTAAGAAAGCAACATCAGTACAAATATGGGGAAAAGGACCAGACATTGTAGCAATAGAGTCCAATTAAATATTTCATAGATATGTTAGAAATTTATTGGGATCAGTTGCAGGACTGGAGCATTCACACAGCTCATTCTGTACAGACAGGCTTGGAGAAATGGAGAAGTGTTATCCATGCTTGTCCTGAAGCTGTGGAGTAATGAAGGACAGACTTGTCTGGGTGAGGATGGAAAGAGGAAGACCAGAGCCTCTTTGACAGGTGGGTGTCATTTAAGCCACCTGCCTAGTGGACAAGTGGAAAGATGCTTTTGAGCAACTCTTGGAAGCACTTGCTAGTGGCAAAGGGACACTTTATGTGGCTATTACTTGGAAAGGCAACATGGCAAAACCCCCCTTAATGTATCACCATGGCAGGATATATTGAGGCAACCCTCTTTCACAAGGTAGAAGTTATTAGGGAGGTATTTTAACTGAGTTTTACCAAGGAAGATTTACTTGTTCACAGCATCACAGAATGGTTTGGGTTGAAAGGCACCTTTAAAAGCCATCTAGTCCAAGCCCCCTGCAGTGAACAGGGACATCTACAACTAAATCAGGTTGCTCAGAGCCCAGTCCAGCCTGATCCTGAATGTTTCCAGGGATGGAGCATCCACCACCTCTCTGGGCAACCTGTATCATTGTTCCACCACCTTCACTGTAAAAAAATTATTTCCTTACATGCAGTCTAATTTTGATTTCTTTTAGTTTAAAGCATCACACCTTATCCTATCCTACAGGCTTTGCTAAAAAGTTTGTTCCTATCTTTTTCACAAGTCGCCTTTAAGTATTCTAAAGAAGGAGGTGTTAATGAAGTTGGGAATCCACTCAAGAAAGAGATTTGGATTCCTGGACAGATAGTGGGACAGATTTGTCAGACAGTTTGTATGGACCTAAATTGTAAAATGATGTTAAAATGTAATTTCCAAGAGTAATTAATATTTAACTAAAGTAATTTCTCAGTTTATTGGGCAACTAGTATGCAGTAGATATCATATAGATATTCTGATCTTGGTGTATCTCTTGATCTTGGCTTTCAACATCTTTCCTTCATTATATTCTCTGACTCTTCTACAGTCAAAATCTGGGGGATAAAATGGGGTAACTTGACCCAGTCAAAATTGCCTGCTTGGACAAATACGAGGTGATAAAGTGAAGAAACACAGCTCAAGTGTCAGGAAAACATTCTCTAATTGCACAAGTAGTAAAATCATGGCATGGATTACTTGGGGAGAAGGTGGCATATTCTTGTCTGAATTTTTGCAAGAAAAAGTGTGATGAATGTTTTTCAGAGATGGTCTAAGTTATTTATTCTGTTTTAGAGCAAGGAAAAAGATTAAATAAGTGACGCTCCAGGTGGCTTCTAGGCATGGGTTTTTTAGATTCTCTTAAGTGGGCACTTTGGGTCTTTTAAGATCACTGCTTCTTGGGTGGGGTCAGCACAAGAATAGACATTGTACTGTGGGAATTTTCCTTCAGGCAGATGGTCATACAAGAAAAAGTTGTGGGTTTTACTGAAAACAGTTATTCTTTACCTGCTCTCCAGAACTTCAGACAAGAATGCCCAGCTTCCCAGGTTGAAATACTGTGCATCAGATAGTATAAGCATTCCTGGAAGACACAACAGATTATGTGAAAGTGTTAAAATGTTTTTGCATGAGCATCATTTTTATTGAAGAGTTGTGCTCCAATGATGAGGAACAAAGGTAGGGCATGTGATAGAAATGTGCAGTGTAAACAGCTCACATGGCTCCTAGCAATTGCATGGTTTTGATTGGATAATAGACCATGAACTGTATTTGTGAAAATTATTCAGCAGTTTCAAAACCCACAAATATTTAGGAAAGCTGTGCCTTTCTGGAGGCACCTGGCAACCAGATAAAGAACCAAAGTTCATTAATAGATGAGTCATTGCTTCTATGTCCGTGCCTGAGATATCCACATAAACTCTCACTGGCTTCAGCAGGTGGTGTGGTCAGACTAAAGGACAGTGTGGTCTCTGGGCCAGGTTCTGGCCTGACTTCAGGCTCACACTGATTTGTTGGTGATTTTAAGCAAACAGAGAAAAAAGAATGCCTCAGCTGACAAGGTTCATTAGCACTCCTCTTTCTCCCCTTCCTCTTCTCATCCCATCACTCTCATTGCTTCTTCTGCTCCTTGTAGGGCCAGGGACTTGCTGTCCCTTTTTCTGGGTAGTGACCACATGGCCAATCTCTCTGCAAAGCCCTGACTTGCTGGTGATAGCCACAGAACTTCATGGCCATCACGGGTTTCTTCCAGACTACCTTGTCCTTGCTACATGGATGATTGTTGCTCATGAAGCAGGGTCTGCTTTCAATAGAACTTTCAATAGTTCTCTGTATTTTATGTTGAGTTACAGAAGTACTGATCTAGTTGACTACATGGATTTGCAACCAGCAGCTCAGCAGCTGCTTCATGAACCATCCTTCCAGGACGGGAACATCACAAAGATGGGTGAGTTGGATGCTGAGGAGTGGGAATTGGTCTATTCATCCCCAGAGAAATCCTCCCCAGTTGTGAGTCAAAGCCTGCTGTCTCTTGCCTGAGATGAGGGGAATCTCCCAAGGGCAGCTAATCTTGCACGATCGCATCACTTGAGATCAAATATAATGATATTGGGTCATTAGATAATTCTAAAAGTGCATGCAAACCTCATTCAAATTCCCATATAGCTCTAGCCAAAACACAAGCCAAATCATGATCCAAATAACCTCCTCCTCAGCCCACCTTCGTTGCCTTTCTGTTTCAGTGGCAAATGCAGCACAGAAAAGATGCCTGAATGCTTAATTCAGAAATTTACTGTTTAAGGCATTACTTGTATGAACACCAGCGTAACACATAGAATACCAATGCCCTAAATTTAGTAGTTTAGTCTGAGTCATTTTCACTATGTGGGAGGGCTGTGAAGACACTCCACAGAGTGGAGAAACTTGCTGGTGGTGTCTGTCCAATGAGATTTTTTTTTTAAAAGTCAGAACACAGTAGAACTACAGATATGTTTGTGAGTAAAATGCAGTTTAGTTGCAGGCTCCAGCACAGGAGAGGGGCGGTGTTGCTCTCCACCCACTTCAAAAGCTGAAGTCAGGTTTGACTGATATGTATCTCTGACACTGAAATAGGTACAGAATTTTTCCTGACAGCAACACACAGACAGAGGTAAACACTGTGGCTGTGGGATTTGGAGGGACATGGTGTAATCCCCAGCTTTGTCTGTGCAATTACATCTTATTTTCAGATTTCCTAGTGATAACAGCTGAGTTGATACAATCCTACATGTAACCAACCAGCGGGCAAAAGTTATCCCTGGGTTCATTCACTGAGGGGTGAAATGTTGTCCCACTGAAGACCAGGTGACTTTTGCCACATAAGTCATCCCGCAGGACTAGAGGTACACACACAGCCTGTGAAACAGATGTGGGCACGAGTCATTAGGTGTGGATGCGAAGGAGGCATTTAGATTTGGCATTATGAACTGGTAACACCTTCCTGTCAGTCTGGGTTTTATTCTTGCTCCATTAGCCTTTCTGCAGGAATGCAGCTGATTTGAAGTTGATAGAAATTTAGCAATTCCATTTTGGACATTCTTCCTGGGACCCTATGGAATTAAACTGCTCTTCTGCTCAAATGAAAACCTAATTTCAGTACCTTATTTTAGTCAGAATTTATAATGTTTGTATTTTGAATAAAATTTAGTTGTAGCTCAACACCTGCTCTCTGTGTTGAGAGATGAAGCAAGCAGAGATAAAGGATGTTTTCATGCACTGTATCCTGTCTGATATCAGCCATGGCAGATGTGTAAACAGACTCAAGCTTGACCCTATACCCTGATTCTCATGAGTGGTGCCACAGAGGTCGGGGCTCTGCTCACACAGACTGGAGGATTGGTTGTGATGTCTTTAATGCCAATGAGATGAACTCTGTTTCTAGAGAATCTCCAGTAAAATCAAAAGCTTGTTAATAAGAAAAGTAGTTAGCTGCTATCCTAAACAAAGCAAAATGCCAAACAAAACCCTGTTCTGCTATTTGTTCCCATACTGGCATTTAGCTGCCAGGAAAGACCAGTCTTATAAACGTGAAATCATATCCATGGCAACATGCAAGCCATGTTTAACTTTGCAGCATGTTGAAAGGTACATTAAAAAAAAAAAGTATTTTACTGTTGAGAATAGCAATTATGACTTTTAAGTCAGCTATTTTAACGCAGTCAGCCTGAGAATGTTGAGTGGTGAGGGTAAGGGCCAGAGGCACAGCTTGTTCCTCAGAGCACTTGTTGCTAGACATTCCCAGAAGGTATTATTGCTTAAATACAGCTTGTGTTTTCTTTACCCAGATTCCTTTAGCAAGGAAGATATGACAGGTTGTGATATTGGACTGCAGTGAAGTTCCGCCGGTGCTGTTCTACCCTTCATGAGTGAGCACTGCTGGGCTGTGCAGCTGACAAGCTCGTGCCCTTTTTTTGGGTAAGTACTGGATTCAAGGAGCCTGCTTTGTGGTATGGCACCCTGGGATTATAAGCACCCTACTCAGGTGCTGTTTGGTGACTCCTGCATTGTGCTGAAAAGCAGACATTGCTCACGGAGTAGAAGAGCAGCTGAAGTAGGGAATAGACTGAATTAGTGTCTGGGCTTGAAAATGTATTGGGAAAAGTAACAGAAAGATCCCAACTTGGAGCAAAAGCTGAAGCTGAAAACTGCAGATGGTTTTCTTGTCTGTACGATAATGTCAAACCCAAAAAAAGGGAGTTTTCACACTCTGTTGTCTGTTTAGCACAAAGTGAAAATTATGTACTGGAAAATGGAGCCCCATGTCTGGAGAAAGCAGCTCTGACTGTGCCTATACAATACCATACAGGGCTTTTTTGGAAGTTGGGCTTGACTGCTTTTGCAGAGGTCTCTGAAACCTTGAGCTCTGAAGCCTTATTTGCTTTGGAGTGAAGGGAGGGAAAACAAGCAATGGGATGTGTCCTCAGTAGTTTTTATCTATTAGCAGTTTCATGATAATGACATTCAGAGTGAATAGTGCTAGGAATCTCTTCTAAAAACCAGAAGTTTCATCTCTAAAGGCAGCTGAACAGCCTGTGTTGGTTGTGAGGGCAGTGCTGGAGGTCCCAATGGCTACAGCTGGATTTCAAAAGGCATGGTGGAAAAGAAGAACAGGATGTTCTGGTAGGTACTGTCATGTGTGTCTTGAAGCAAAAGGGCTGGTAAATGCAGTAACCTGAGTGTCTGGCTCTGAAAACACAGCATCATCTTGGAAGAATACACGTGTATTTGCTGTCTTCTGTAGCTCTTCATCATGGTTCTGGTTTCTCTCTTCTCTATTTTAGCTGCACAGAAGTGAGGCAAAGGTGATACGAGGTGCACTTCCTATAGAAATTTAACAGCATATATATTAGCATTTACCTCTCTTTACAGAAAAATGGAGGTAATGTACCAGTACAACCTGTCCCTTCACTTTTTAGGAGAGTCTCAGACCTGTATCTAGCTGGACAAGGAGGTTTGGACTTTGCTGTACCTTTCCACTTTTGTAAAATGAACACAGATGGTATGTTCCAGCAGGATGAATGATTTGACACTGTACCTCAGTTACTGGAAGTGCTGTGTACAGTCTGGAGAGAAGAAGTGTCTGAGATGCCTTGCTACTGAGCTATCTGCATGCTGGTGTGAGGGGAGAGAGGTGAAGCACCAGGCAGTACCAGAATCGCATCCTGGGGGCCTGAATCCACAGTAACTCTTTCCTTGGGACTTCAGTGAGAGTTGCCTGTTTCTTAGTCTTTTGAAATACTTTATCTTCAGGTGCCTAAAATGAGAGCCAATGAGCCTGAAGAACCTAATTTTGACAAGAAAAATACTTTTGTTTGTGGGAAGTTTCCTGAAAGGACTTCAGGAGTTATTCTGCAGTGAACTTTGAATTCTGCCTTGGGTGGTGGTATCCCTTGTGGAATACGTGTTGCTCAGCCTGTAGAGTTGTCAATACGAGGCATATTGCTGTATCAACCCTGTGGGTGCTTTGGCCTTTGCTCTGGATCTTAGCTTTAGTCATGCAACTCTTCTTTTGCAGGATGTTGGTATCTTTAGATCTGTCTGCTGGGTTCTTCCTGCTTTCATGCTGAAGAGTGTGTGGGAGAAGGTGGCCAGGAGTATAGTGTTGGAACGACCTTTTACTGATGGAGGCACAGTGGTGCTGTGTGCTGCCAACACACTCTGGCAGTGGATGCATCTATTTCAGCAAAGCTGTGCCTTCTACTGTTCTACTGCTCAATCTTGTGCAGCAGGAGAGAAATGGTGCTTGCAGAAGCCTGGGTTGGAGGGCAGTGGGGTGTGTGACAGCTATGCAGGTGGACACCCCAAGTGGGGGTGCCACGTGAGCCACTGGTTTTACCACTCTCATTCTAGTGTACGTAGCCACAACTGCTAAAGTCACCTGTGCCCAGGTGGCTGGGATATCTTCTGCTGCTGTCACTTCTTGGGGAAACCTCCTTTAACAGGTCCTTGGGCACTGGCTAGGACTGTGGCACCCATTGGGACACACAGGGACTCAGAGACCCCATTCAGATGAGGACCTTCCCCTAACCTTAGGAGACCTCAGCAAGACCTCTAGCACTTGGATCCTGACCTCAGAACAAATGGCTCTGTCAGGTATCTTTGAGGGGAATTTGATAGAATTTTCCTCATTTCATCCTTAAATGCCCACTGGTGGTCTCTTGTTTTGAAGAGAAAACAGGACCCACTGAAAGGCTGTTTTTCCATGAAGGTAACTTCAGCATACTGGTGACAGCTATGGTGGGTGTCTACTGAACCAAGAGTGTCAAAGCCAACATCTAAAATGACCTTTAGGCTGTTTACTCAAAGCAGTAACAGACTCGCCCCCGTCTTCCTGATAGGGCCATCACTTATCAAGAAATAAGAAGAGCAAGTGGCTAGATATGGAAATCATTGTGGGAGTGCCTAGATGAAAACACACAGCATCGTATAGAAGTAATGCTATACACCAGTAACCTTTACCTCTTCTGTGGAATATGTATGTAGAAACCAGGAGAATTACCAGGTATTGGAAATAAGCTCATTCCAACACAAATAGAAAACCTTTTCTTGGAGAGACAGATGTGTATAATTTAAATCAAGTTTCTCCTCATGCTTCACGCTTCTGTTTCCTAGATATGTAGAAAAGTATCAGAAATCAACGATTTTCATCTCACTTAAATGAAACATTTTAGAAGAGGAGTCTAAAGTAAGCCAAGAGATTAAGCAGACACTAAAAATTCAGTAAGCTCTTAATTTAATAGCTTGATATGTAGGATGCTAAGTACCAAATAGAAGACAATGGGTTGGTTTCCACACTAATTTAGAAAATCAGGTCCTTTCTTAAAAAAGTTTTCATCATCATAAGAGAAAAATATACTTCAACACATGCTTTAGAAAGTATTGGTATTTTAATGGATTTACCTCATTAAGCTATATTGTAGCATTTTACCATCTCAAACTAAGCTTTGTTTTAGCTAACAGTCACCTGATTTAGTTGTGTTTTTTTCTTTTAATTAATTATTATTATTTAATTTATATTAGGTTTTATTTGGGGTGAGAATAGCAGCACCATCTAATCCCACTTTTGTATTTACTGGAGAATGTCTAGACTGGCTAGTGTGAGGGTTTTCATCCTGGAAGGTTTTAGTAAGATCCCTCTCCACTTGGCATATACGTCACACAAGTACTGAAACTGAAAGCTTTAGATGCGATACCACACCTAGTAATAAACTGTTTCAACTTTTTTTTTTTTTTTTTTTTTTTTTTTTAAGGGGAAAGAAATACCATCTTTTGGCAGTGTTTCCTCTCAAACCTCAGAGACTTGCTGATCTGCTGTGTAGATCTGTGCTGTGGTTGCAAAGTATCAAAACAGAACTAAGGATTTTTATATCTACTCTTCCCACCCAGCACTCACAGCTCCTTCCCCCTTCCCTGTCTGTCGGGTAGTTTCTGAAGGCGTTGGGGAGACAGGAAGGGAAGGGACACAGAACTGACCATTGGACAGATAAAAGGAGAATAGTGCCAACAGCTAAGCCTCATTAATTTAGGAGTACAGTCTGCAAATGCCTTGGTAATTAGAATGGATTGTGAATATTGTAGGTTTTTTGTAGGTGTGGAGAGAAGCAAGGTAGAAGCAACTGGTTTCCATGTCAGATTAAGGAATTTGCAAGTGTTTGTGGCAAATGGTTCCATTCTCTTCCTTAAACTCTGAGCTTTTTAAATGGGAATGATGGTTTTCTGTTTTCTTGTGCTGTTGTGATACATCATGGAAACATTTGGCAATGATGCATATTGGACATGGAGCCCAATTGCAGCCAATGGCCATGAAGGATAATGACATCCAAACCAGAACTCCAGTTAAGTCACGGGGATGTTCAATTTCTTATCAAATTTTGGAGTTTTCTTTGCAATTTTCTATGCAAAGCAGGCACTTGGAGTGGAAAAGGTCATTTTGATAAAAATCCAACTTTTCACTAAAATCAGTTCTCTTCAGCACCCTGTCCCAAAATCTGTTATGTTCACAGTGTTCCAGAACAGCCTTGCCATCTGTCAGAAGCATTTTTAGGTAACAAATTATTCAACCTAACTGTGCCCTGTCTTTACCACACCAGTTGTGTTGTCTTTGAACTTCCTTGGGATAGATAAGCCTGAGGCTCACCAAAGACAGCAGGAATCTCCAGACACTGAAGGGGAACCTCTAGAGCCAGGAAATAGAAATGTCCTTAGGATGTGGGTGTTTCTGAAGCACCAGCCACCTCCTGAGTAGGAATGTCTTTACCTACTACTGCAGAAAGCAAGTGTGTTCCAGCACGGAGGTAGTGCTGTTCCAGAAAGGAGTGTATGTCTTGCTCTCCATTTAAAATGGATCCTCTTTTGCATATTTTGTATTCTGGTAGGAGGTGGGAGGTCACACTCAGACTCTTCCTGACAAGATCCAAATTCATATTATCCACCCCCAGTTACTGCCTAAAACATATAAAAAGTTCTCAGATAAAGGATTTTTCTCTTTCAGCCATGTGTCCTGATCGCTAGGCTGAGGATTCAGCCCTCTTAGGATCAAAGCTTGAATTTTTGTTTAGAGGGGAGTCACCCTATCCAAAACCTTGTGGTTAAGGCATTTCTTGAGGAGGTGAGAGACAAGGGTTTGAACTGCTGAATGCATATCTCATGCTTCTTTTCAAGAGCATGCTAATTACTAGACTGTGATATGAGAAGCAGACGGTGTTGCCACTATCAAATTGGTTACTCAGCCTGGGTTTCAAAAGCAAGTGGCCCCAGCCTGAAGACTCAAGTTTGAAGCAGTGCTGGGTCAGTGTGCCCACAGCTGTGCTCCAGGGTGGGCTTTCTGGGCTTGGCTCTCGGGCTGGAAATGGGTTCTGCCAGCTGTCCGAGGCTGGGCAGTATCCGGGGCAGGCGGGGTGATGTGGGCAGCAGTT